CTCAATGTTGATTCCACATTTTTTTTAATGTTGGAAATTCTGTATAGTTGAGTGGATGTTGCAATGTGCCCCATTATAAAAGTACATTTTCTATCCCCTTTTCTTTCATTCATATTTTTTATTTGTTCTAATTAGTTATACATGACAATAGAATGCACTTTGACACCTCAGACATAAATGGAGTATAATTTCTCATTTTTCTGGTTGTACATGATGTAAAATCACACCGGTTGTGTAATCATATAAGCACATAGGATAATAATGTCTGATTTATTCTAGTATCCTTCCTCCTCCCATGCCCCTCCCATCTCTTCATTCCCCTTTACCTAATCCAAAATAACTCTGTTCTTCCCTAGGCACCCACCCTTATCGTGAATTAGTGTCTGCATATCAGAGAAAACATGTGGCTTTTGTTTTTTTGGAATTGGCTTATTTTGCTTAGCAAGAGATTCTTGAGCTTCATCCATTTACCAGCAAATGCCATAATTTTATTCTTCTTTACCCCTCTGGCTGGTGAGAATGGCCAGAGAGATAAATAAGAAGTTGTTGGACGAGGCTTCTGGAAGGAATTCTTTGAAAGGAGATAAGTTATCTCAGAGAAGCACCCTTTATTCTGTGTCCTACTCTCTCTTTTCCTTGCTTGGGACAAAGGCATCATGGCTGGAAACTTCTTGGACTATGAGGTCAGAGAAAATGGAAATTGCAAGCAAACTGTGATGGAAGAGAAGTGAGAGAAGTCTGAGCCCTGTGTTACCACGGGGCTACCAGCACAGCCCTGGATTGCCCACGCCAGACTCATTTTAATCAGGGAAAATAGTCATTATCTCACTTACTTCACCATTCCAGATTTCTGTTCTGCACAGGCAAGACGACTTCTCAAAGTCACACAGCTAGTAAATGGTAGAGCCAGTGTTATAGATGAGGAGTTTCTTTGTAGAATGCTAACTTCATTCACCACCGTGCAGTTCATTCACACAGGAAGCATCCATGTGTGTTCTCTAGGTGCCTGCCCCTGTGGAGCTACCAAAGACATTCAGAGAAATAAGACCATATGATGATGTCGTTATAACACACAGTCCCAGCATACCAGAGAAGGAACAACTAAATACCTGTGTAGCATGAGGAATTTCAGAGTGGGTGATTTCAGCAGAGACTTGTGATGTTTGAGTTTGCTAACAGAGAGGAGGAACACCAGCATTTAAGATGGGAAATGACATGTTCAGTTAGGTGGTTCAGTTTCTGTGGAGGGCGATGGAAGGCAGTTCTTTGTGACAGTATCTTTAGCATAAACAGCTTTATGGGGGCATCAGACGTGGCTGTAAAGCAAACTACCCATAGTACAGTGACTAAAACAACAACAACAACAAACATTTCATTGCTTAAAATTTCAGCAGTTGGGACTGGATTCAGCTGGGCATTCCTCAGGTCTTGCCAGACTCCTCAGGATCCTGAATGATAGAATAGGAGCATGGATTCACTGTAGGGATGTGTTTCCTGGTGATTCTTGCCTTAGAAACACATTTATGATGATGTTTTCTTATTTTTTCTTGTTTTTCCACTGATCTCTGACATACAAACTTTGGGTTCACATGATGAGTGCATAATTTCTATTGTATTAGATGATTGTTCAACATTTTTACCCAAAACTCATGTTGTCACCTGCTCCCCTTGGATCTTTAAGTAAACTGTTGTCTTTGAGCTTAAAATACTATTACTGCTCTTAAAATTACTGAGCTTTCATAATATGACCCATGAACTTGAAGAACCTTGTAACATGCAAGACACAGTGTTGATCTTTACGAACCCAGAAGTGGTTAGGGTGGCTCCCCCCGCAGTCTGTAATTTCCCTTCTTCAGCTGTTCAGTCTCCACGTGAACAAGACCCCCTGGAGGACTGCTGGAGGGAATGAGGGATGCTGAGTGTTGAGGTTTAGATATGAGTTGTCCCCCGACATCTCAAGTGTTCGACAGTGCAAGAAGGTTTAGAGGTGAAATGATTGGCTTATGAGAGCTTTAGCCTACTTAGTGCACTAATCCACTTGAATGGACTGAGTGGTAACCGTTGGCAGGCAGGGGGTGGCTGGAGGAAGTGGGTCACTGGGGGAGTGCCTTTGGGTTTATTTTTTGTCCCTGGTGATCACAGCCGTCTCTCTGCTTCCTGGGTTTCATGTTCTGAGCTGCTTTCCTCCTCTACACTCCTGGAATAATATTCTGCCTCACCTTGGGTCCAGAGCAATGGAGTCAGCTGTGTATGGACTGAATCTCTAAATTCATGTGCCCTAAACAAACTTTTCCTCCTCTAAAATTGTTCTTGACAGGTATTTTGGTTGTAGCCGTGAAAAAAGATGCAAGAGTGTGCAGGGAGGACTTGGAAGTGTGGAATCACTAACATCAATCTGAGAGTAGGTTCCAGTTGGGAGGGGAGGGGGCTCTGTGTGAATGACTTCCGGGGTACAAGTTGGCTGTGGAGTAGCCATGTGGTTCAGGAGAAGGCCAGGAGTTTGGGCTGGGTGCCTCTGTGGTCAGAGGCAATGGTGGGTGTGTGGGTGTGCACAGATCATGGAAGCTGGGAAGTGGGAGCTCTGGGCAGAGGAAGCACAAACCTGAGAAAGAGTAAAGCAGTCTAATGTCACTGGAGGGGACATCTCTGCAAATTTTAGCCACAACCTGCAGATCAGTGTCCCTTCTCTTGGGAACAATGCATCTCATGAAGGATCCATGCCATCCTCTTGATTCCGTTAGGCCCTTTATTAACACTCATTAGCATTTTACCTTCCTTCATGTTTGTTCACCAATGATACAGACACAAAAGGAGAGTCTCACACTTGTTCCCATTTTCCAAATGAGGAAAGTGAAACTGGGAAAAGCTAGTGACTTGGTCAAGGAGACTCAGTAAGGGGAGGGACCAGAACCTTCATCTTCCGTGTTCTTCTGACTCCCACCTGCTCCTTCAGAACTTGGATTCAAGTCTCCTTTTTACATCCTCCCGATTGCCAGCATGTGTTCGTGCTTAGTGTGTGCCCCACAGTGCTCGGGGATATGATACTAAGCAAGAACATGTCCCTGCCCTTGGGGCTGGGCTTGTGGTTCAGTGGTGGAGCGCTTTCCTAGTGTGGGAGGCACTGGGGTCAATCCTCAGCACCATATAAATATAAATAAAATAAAGGTATTGAATCCATCTACAACAAAAAAATATTTTAAAAAATGAAGACGTGTTATTGTATACACTCACACTCATTTGGATTTTCCAAGTTCAAGGGTGGCCCAGTGGGGCTACCCTTCCATTCAGGGCAAGCTGAAAGAAAACAGAAAATCATTTTAATTGCATGAACAATAAAAAAGCATAAAGCAGAGTGAGGGGCTGGGATTCCAGGAAGGTGGACAAGGAGAGCCTCCTGGAGGCCTCCGAGCAGGGCACCTGGCTTCCGCCTCACTTTCTTGTCCTCTGGCAGGTCCAGGCTCTGTGGGATCCGAAGCTTATACAACTTCAGAGTCTGTCTTTAAGAAAAGGAATACAATAAAAAATAGATTAAAATGAATGTATATTGAAAAGACAGAAGAGATGACAATAAGTTTTCTATATTGAAAAACTACAAAATCTAAAATAATCTTATAAAACCCAGACAATTAACCTGATTTTGGCTATGAATTTCTGGGCGTATGTCTATAGTGTGTTTTCCTGGGATTCCAGCTGAATCCTCTTTAGTTTCTTCTTCACACGACACCAATTTCATAATAATTTAAAATGAGAGATAGAAAGTAGACTTGTTTTCCGTGGTGGATGACAAAGTTAATACTGACAGTTTCCAAAAGTTGTTGTAAGCACCCCGAGCCATCGTTGTCCATGCCATGTAAATCTTTAGGATCGTCATCAACTTTGGGAAAATTCCACCACATGTATAAGCTTTCAGGGCATTTTAAGTTTTCTTGTGTGATGATTCAATCTTAAATCATCTTTAAATTTCTGACCCTCATTAAATAGCTTGTTAATAACATCCCCTGTTACGAGAGTATGCTGAATTTTACCTGGCTACCTTTGATGTCAGACTTTGGCTCAAACCATCCAGAAATGAGAATATCTCTGCAGTATGTTTGGATGATTCCTTCGTTTACTCTGAGAAAAACCAGAAGATCCAAAAGTCAACTTCCTATCTCTCTGAGGGAGACAATTCTTCCTTTTAATGAATGTCCACATTTTGTATGATCTGAACATTGTTTTTGCTACAATTTGCTTCTAGGTGTCAGGATAATTTCTCTTGCTTTTCTTCTTCATATTTTAATTTTGTTTCCATTAATTTTTAATTGAATTTCCTCTCATCTTCTTAATGTATAAACTTAATGATTATAAAAGAATGTGTTGTTTATAACATTCAGTGCAGGAGCCTGTGATTTCTTGCTTGCTTTATGAAAATATTCCAGAATGCCTTTTCAAAATGACTAAGTAAAATGGTGTTTTATCAACTTTTTGAACCCATTTTAAGAACATTTTGTTTGCACTAAGTTTTCTCCTTTGTTATCAAAAACCTATGTTAATATCCATTAAAGGTCTCTGTGATCATGGTCTCCTCTTGAACAGCTCTATAATCCCAGACCACTAGGCCACCCTTAAACTCCTTAAAGGAAAATCCAAATGAGTGTGGGTGTATAAAACAACACATCTTCTGTGTAAACTTGAAAACATGTGCTGTAGCAGAATTATTAAACCCAGCACAGAACAGGCAGCTTTTCTACAGAAGTAAGGAGAAAAATGCCCACTACCCATGTTGTGGCACTTTAAAATGGCCATAAGAGCATGTGGAGAGCTCCTCTCTCTGTAGTGGCAAGGTTTTCATGCAGCTGACCATGAATGGCACTCAAGGACAGCCACAGTACTCCAAACACTGTTGCACTTTGAAAAATGTTGTAGACAACTGTCGGTTGGCAAAAGCATTAACAATTGCTTGTGGGTTTTGTGTTAGAAGCGCAGCACACAGTGTTCACGGGGATCAATGCTTGTTACAGCCAACTTGAGGTCTACTACAGTGGAGCTGAATTCAAGGTCTGGTCACTTGATGTGCCACGTGATGCAACCCAACCCAACCACACCAAGCCATGGGTCTCTAGATGGGCCATCATCATCCCAGCAGAAAAGGTGATAGATGCCTGTTCCAGAAGTACCTTGTCTATCGTAAGTTCTGCTTTATTCTTCGTAAGTATTACTGGATCACAATATTGATAAAGCATAGTTGTTTTTTAGAGAAACAGATAAAAATGAAAATGCTTCTCACTGCAACAGGCCATCATGAAAGACCTCAGATCTAGCTCTGTTGGATGAATGCAGTGACACGGAGATGCTGGTGACCCTGGACACGGGTTCTGGTTTTTTTGGGGGGTGAGTGGGTATTGGGGATTGAACTCAGGGGTACTCCATCACTGAGCCACATCCCCAGCCCTATTTTGTGTTTTATTTAGAGACAGGTTCTCACTGAGTTGTTTAGCGCTCGCCGTTCCTGAGCTCGCCGTCCTCCTGCCTCAGTCTTCCTAGACGCTGAGCTTACAGGCATGTGCCACGGCGCCTGGCTGGACGCCAGTTCTGGGTCGCACAACTGTGTTCCCCTTTGCTCTAGTTTTCTTGTCTTTCCTGCGTTGGTTTCTGTTTGGAGGTGCCCTGACTCTCACAATCTTTGTCACCACCTGTCATTTTACTTTTCTATTTTTGCCTACCACACATTGTTTCCTTTTCTTTACAACTTTCACCATCAGCGTCTTAATTTCAGATATACTAAAAAAGTTTTTGGCATCTTAAAGATTCTGCCAGTCTATTTTATTTTTATTTATTTACTTTGACTTCTAATTAGAGATTTCCTTCCAGTCAAACCTGAAGTTTTGTATGGCCCATAATTCTGAAAACATATATAATTAATCTGAAATTATGGCACACAGGAGAACAATTCAAATGCTTTTAAAAACTGCCCGAGCTTTGAATTGAGCCACTTAATTGTGTGATCCAATTATCTTTCATCCACGTGCATTGACTTAACTGATGAATGTGTAGGAGTTTGTCACTTGCTTCTTCAGGCTGTTTTCCTCCATCACTGACAATCTCCTGTTGGCTCGTGTTGATCTGGAGCCAGGAGATCCTTTGGAATAAGACACATTGGGTGTGCTCTGCACGACCCAGATCCAGTATAATTGTAGGTTGGGATGTTGTGAACACACAAATACTTTCTGTTTACAGCTGCAGGCTTATGCTCACAGGTAATATGATAATTTTGTATAATTTTGTAAGGGAGGATACGCGTACGTTATATGCAAACACTATGCCAGTTTATGCAAGGGACTTGAACCTGAATAGATTTGGGTAATTTCAGGAGTCTTTGGAATCAGTCCTGCATGGTGGATGCTGAAGAACAATAGTAGATCCTAACAAGTGCCCACCACACATGCCCCACACTCAACATCTGCTTGGGCAGATCCCCCAAATTCCATTGCCATGCCGCCGTCCCTCACCATGAGTGGATGCCTGGTGGTGGACACAACAGCGGAAGCAGTGGTGATCCTGCAGATTGAGGTGCAGCGACTGACTCTGGCAGATTTCACCACACATATGACCATGAAAACATTTTGCTATGACCTGCTTCCAGGGCCTTGTGTGGCTGGGGAGAAAAAAAAAAGACCCTGATATTATATCTTTATTGGCTCTGAAGTCCACCTCATAGACAGGGGCAATGAATTCATGTCTGAAGTAGGAGTTCTGGTGTACTAAGATGTGGTAGTATTCAAGGGCCACGTTCTCAGCCACCAGAGCCCCATCATGAGTTAATATCAAGGCAGCAAACGTCATGCAGAAGGACATGGTGGAATGGAGCTGCTTAGCTCAAAGCAGCTGGAGAGCAGAGAGCGAGAGGAATGGGCCAGGGGAAGATGAACCCTTCTAGGGCACATCCCCGGTGACCTACTTCCTCCAACCGGGTCCCACTTCCAGCAGTCCCTTCAGCCATTAGTGGATTAATCCACCGACGAGGTCAGACCCTCATGATTCAATCACTTCCTGAAAGCCCCACCTCTGGAAGGACCCCTCTTTGTGGGTCCTTCTAGATTCAAACTGTAACGCTCTCCCAGTCCACTCAGACAGGAGGGGACTCAGCTCTTCCTTGATATTCACAGCAGACAGGGTAGATGACACCCTGGAGAACAGGAGGTCACAGGCTCTGAGGAGGAAGAGACCTTAGAGAAACACAGTGGGCAAGGCCCTTCTCAAGGACAAACACTGGGGGTGGGGGTGGGAAGCAAAAGAAAAATGAGCAAAATAAATATGCTTCAGGGGACAGGGCCAGCTTTTAAAAATGGGAAATGAGAATTTTAAAAAATCATAGACGAAAGTCACAAACTAGGTACAAAGTGAAATATCAGGTATAAATGTATAAGGTGGTGTGACTTAAGACTTCCGAAGAACTGCACTGATCAGGTGGAGAGCCAACAGAACAGAGGAGGAGTGAAGGAGTGAAGACAGGCCGTGCCTGCTTGGGGCAGGGCCTTGCTCTCACAGAACCTCGGAGCTGTCCAAACATAGGGCTTTCTTCCTCTAGAAAACAAAGACTTCATTGCTAAGCAGCTGAGAACTAGTCTGGCCAGGCTTCCTTTGAGGCAAATGGCAGCCCTTCCCACTCCCTGGCAGACCATAAGCCTGTGTCACTGAGGATGACCAAGCACCTCATTGCAACAGGTAAAAGTGCTGGGGCTAGTTGTCTCCTCCAATTAAAAATAAGAATTACATAAATTGATTTCTTAGGTTTAAATTTACACTGTGTAGAATACTGCCTAGTCCCTTATGTTGCTTCCATGCAGGGCATGGCCCTTCCCAAGGTGGCTTTAGTCACTCCTCCCACCCAGAAGTGGGGTCTGTTCTACTCTCTTGAGTCTGGAATGACCACATAACTTGCTTTGACCATACATGCAGGAGGCATGTGGAGCAAGTTTCAGGACCTCTGCACATGATGGCTGGCAACATCCATCTTGACCTTTTGCAAGGCTTCTTGGAGACCTCCATGCAGCAAAGAAGACAGAATGGAAGTCCCAGTGGAGAGAAACCCAGACATCACAGCTGCCACAGCTGCGGAGGCCCTGCTGCCCTGCTGAGCCCAGCCTCAGCCACTCACCAGCAGGCTGCAGCCACATGAGTGAGCAGGAGAGACAGGAGAGCCACCCATCAGGAGAGTCACAATAGCACAGCACTGATTGTTTTAAGTGACTATTTCATGGTGGATTATTAAGCAGAAATTGTTGGGAACACATCCATTATTATTCTCTAAAAACATCTTAGAGTGCTAGGATATAGATTGTTGATCCCTTTGTTCGGATGAGAAATGAAGTCTCAGGGTGTTTATATGGCATGGCACAGCCTCGCGGGTAGGAAGGTATGGGCTGCACCATGTCGGAGAGAGGGATGAAGAGCCACAGGCTGGCATGGGGGCTGCAGTGGGGTCAGGTATCAGGGGGTGCCACTGGCATGGGCCAGCCACACAGTTTGGCCTCTCTCTTGCTTCCTTCTCATATCTAAGGCATTTTCCTGGCACAGAGCCTTGAAGCCAGACAGATGAGGCTTGACTTCCTCTCTTTGCCACCCACTTCCTAGCTGTAGGACCTTGACAAATGATACCACTTCTGAGCCTCAGTTTCTTCCATTGTAAATTGGGGGCTATGGTATTAAGCACTGGGTTTCCCAAGATTTTATGGGTTGGCATTTGTGTGTGACCATGCTCCAGGCCAGCACCCATGTATTGCCCAATAAATATTTATTCAGACTCTCTTTCCCAGCTTCATTTAACCACTCTTTTGAGTGCCTCTTGTAGAAAGTAGGGGAAAACATAATTTTTAAGCTCATAGTTTTTTTTTTCCCTTTTTTCTGAGATGGAATGATATAATAATGGTGACAAAGAATTTTGTAATTTGTAAAATAAAATTAATATGAATCTTTGAGTCCTGTATTAATCAGCTTTGCAGCACTGTGACCAAAATACCTGAGAAGAACAACTTAGAGGAGGAGAAGTTTATTTGGGCTCATGGTTTCATGGGTTCAGTCTATGGACAGCTGGCTCCATTGCTATGTGCCTGAGGTGAGGCAGAACACCATGCGGGGGTGGGTGTGGCAGAGGTAGGCAGCTCAGATCATGGTGCCTGAGAAGCAGAGAGAGGGACAAAGGCATCCGGGACAAAATATAAACCCAACAGCACACTCCCAGTGACCTACCTCCTCCAGCCATGCCATACCTGCTGCCAGTTTTCACTCAGTGTGGCAGTTCTTCCAGTCAGTAATATGAATTAATCCACTGACTAGGTCACACCTCTCACAATCTAATTGCTGCATTTCTGATTATCCCTCACATGAGCTTTTGAGGGACACCTCATATCCAAACCATAACAAGCCTCAAAGACTAGTTAAGGGGGCAGTAGATTATGGTGGTTGATGACCTGGGCCATGGTAACACAAAGACCTAAATTATGAACAAGTGATCTAATCTTACCAGCTTTAGAACTATGGACCAGCTAACTAACTAATTCTATGTGCTTCTGTTTCCTGACATTTAACTTGGATAGAGTGTAAGCCCCACCTCAGATACTTGTTGTGAGGATTAAATGAGATTGAAAATGTTCAGCCTTACCCTGGCACAGCAAGTGCTAATAATTTTTGTAGTGGGAACAACTGCTTCCCTTTTCCCACCATTTTTCTTTCATCTTCAACTCATTGTGAGGCTGGGAGCCCTGCTCCAAATGTGAACTCTTGGTTTTAAAGAAAGAAAAGATATAATATCAAAATTTCTATCAGTACTTTGGAAATCATAGTGTGAACGGCTGGTCTATATGGCTCTGTGCCAGCAGAGTGCCAGGGATCACCCTCTACCCACGCCTGAAATCTGTTCCAGTTCCAGGAGACAGTGAAGCTCCCGGGGGTCCACTTCCTGTGCACTCTCCTGGGCACTGCTCCTCCCCACACAGCGACCCGTAAACTACAGATTAGCTATCCGCTCTACCTCTCAGCACACACACCCCACAACCCATAGCTGTGTGTGCTGAAGAGTGTAGATAGCTGTTGTAGACACTCCAGTTCAAAAACAGGAAGCCAGAGTCACACAGACATCGCCGACCACAGCAGTTTTGAAATCTTCAGTTCCTCCATTAGTGCCCAGGCCCAGTCCTTGGGAGCCGCTCCCCATGCAGCCTGGCTCTGCTCCTGAGCACCTGATCCCACTCAGTCTCACATCATTTCCCCCAAGATGCACCTGGGTGTTTTCAAAGGAGGGAACTTCACAGCCTGCTCTCTGAAGATGAGGGTTAAGTGTCCTTTATTGTTAAGATTTTTTTTTTTTAATTCTACATCTCTATTTCAATCTGAATGTGCACAATTATTTTGAAAATTTTGTGAGCTTCTGGTGTAATGATTTATAATTACTCCAGTCGACAACCCTGGGACACAGCTGTCCTGGGGGTACACCTTTGTTTTCCCCTGGAGCCCTCAGAGGGCTGTGTAAGGAAGCCCTGTTGTTTAATGCAGATGACCTGTGAGGAATCCCTTCAGCCTCAGGAGGCGTCTGTCCACCTGGATGTGTCTCTTGGCTGCACCTCAGAAGCCACATTCCCAGCCTGGGCTAATATTTTCTCAGAGGACCTGTCTTACTTCGAGAGTCTTCCACTGAGAGAGACTTGGAATGAGACATAGTTTGCTTTTTGTATCCAGCATGTCCTGGTATCTTTTTCTTTTCTTTTCTTTTTTTTTTTTTTTTTTTCAAAATTTTGCTTAAAAACTGAAGAGTGTAGCATTTTCCCTTGTCCGTATCTGGTCCTCTCCTAAAGGAAACCAATGGGTTCTTTTAACATCCTGTCTTGAAGTCTCCTCAGACCCATTCATCATTTTATTAGTTCTATTTCTTATTTTCTATGTCACTTCAGCAGACGGTGTTGACGAATAATGAGACATTTTTTTTCTTCTAAAGAAGAAATTTCACACTCATGCCCCTAGTGCACCCCAAGGCGGCAGGACCCTCCCTGCTCCTGCTGTTCTCCCATCCCACAGCCAGAGCCACAGGCAGAGGTTTTTGGTGTGTCAGTCTGCACTTTTACCTTGTTTGTGACAACAAATCATGGTTTATTTGAGCCACATGTAGGTTTAGGGCATTGAATACATTTTAGAAATTAAAGTTGTCTGTACTTGGAAATTGATGAAAATTAAAATTTGATGGAGTCATTGTATCACCTCCAAACTCATTGGCATAAAACAAAACAATTAACATTTATTATTTCTGGCTGGGTCCAGTGGTGCAAGCCTGTATTCCAACAGCTTGGGAGGCTGAGGTAGGAGGAGCTCAAGTTCACAGTCAACCTAAGCAACTTAGTGAGACCCTGTCTCAAAATAAAATAAATAAATAAAAGGGCTGGGGATGTGGCTCAATGATTAAATGCCCCTGGATTCAATCCCTGGTACAAATCAAATACATATGAATATCATTTCTCACAGATCCTGTGAATCATAAATTTTGATGTGAATTTGTATGGCAGTTTTGGCCCAGAGTCTCTTGGGGGATGTGGCAAGGTGTTAGAAAGCCTGCAGAGAACTGAAACCCCAACGAAGCGGGAGATCCACTCCCAGAAGGCTGGCTTACAGCACTGGACTGGTGGTTCTAGCTTTGGTGAGCCCCTGAGGGCCTCCCCACGGGGAGGGTCCTCAGAATGTGTGAGGGGCCTCAGAATGCAGCAATTGGTTTCTCACAGAGGCTGGTGAGCCTCTAGTAACCCAGCCTTGGAAGTCACCACCACCACTCTCACAATATCTCAGGGTGACCTAGCCAGCTCTGGTTCCAGGGGGAGAATGCCCGCAGGTGAGGTCACCTGGGCCATCTTGGAGACTGGCTACCACGCCTTGGGTCAGAGACGCCCCATCAGAGCCTGTGCCATAGCTGGATGGGTTCAGGAAAGGCTTCCTGCAGAGGCCACAGGAGCTGAGACTGGAAGGACACGGTGTGAACAGGAAGCTCATGGAAAGGCCTGAGAGAGTGGGGTGTCTGGGAGGTGCACTGGTACACAGCAAGGGGAGCAGGAGACGGAGGGCTCAGGAGTGAGGTCCAGAGCACTTTCACTCTCTCCACTCACTTCCTCATCTCCAAAAAGGCAAAAGTGATATGAAACTGATATGGCCTGAGCGTTTGTCCCCTTCAAAACTCATACTGAAGTGTCATTGTCCTTGTGATGGCATCAGGAGGCGGGACATTTAAGAGAGAGTGGTAGGTCAGGAAGCCTGTATCAGGAATGGACTGACACTGTCCTCCTTCATGCAGGAGGGCTCTCTCCCCTCGACTCCTTCCTCCTCCCCTTTCCTGGAGCACCGGATGTCTTCCAGGTGACCCTGTGGTAAGAAGGTTCTCGCTGGGTGCTGGCACCTTGGTATCTACATTTCCAGCCTCCAGAACTGTGAGCCAGGACATTTTTGTTCATTCTAAATTCCTCAGTCTGTGGCATCCTGATATAGAAGCACAAAACAGAATAAGATATAATCAGTTGCAAAACACTGTGAAGTTTAAAAGGAATCAGGAAGGGAAAGCATAGGTACTTGGTAGAGCAAATTGACTATATTATTAATCTTATAATGTGATTGCAAAGATTGATTTCCAGAAACATTAGAGAGTCATAACTACCATGTTTCAGGCATGGAGCCCTTGGGGCTGGGTGGACTCTGCAGCTCTTTGGGAAGGGCCAGGAGGCTTGGCAGTGGCAAGGTCACATCCTGTCTTCAGTGAGCGTGTTATGGTGGAGGCCAGCCAATTGGCAGTTGGATAGTGAAAGGGAGTCTCCTTGTTTTTTTCACCTGTGCTCAGTTGTCAATCACAGATGAAGTGGATAGTAACTTTACTCCTCATGCAGTGGAGACTCAAACCAGAGACAGATGCGCCTGCTCTTCGCACTGCGCAACAGGCCAGTAGTCACTCTGGAATTAGGGAAGGACGCTGGGAATGCAGGAATGTGATCCAGGCTGGAAGCCTGTGGGAAGGTCTTTGTAGAGCAAAGGTGCCTACAGTCTGCTTCCTACAGAAAGCCCTCTGGGTGTCTGAGCCAGTCCTTCTGCACTGCGTCTGTACTCGGAAGCTATGTTTAGTTTGGACACTGCAGAATGACATTGGAAGTTGGAGCTGGGATTTGAACTGAGATTTGCCTGATCTCAAGCAACAGAATGTTTTCTAGTTTCTTGAGATACTCTAGTTTCTCTGTGAATATTACATTTCTGACTGGAAATATAGAAACCGTAGTCTGGAGTTAATTAGCTAATAAATAATAGTGACTTAGAAGGTTAAAAATAAGAATTGTAATGCAAAAAAAAAAACATTTATTCTTCATTTAAAAATAAATAAATAAATACATAAAGACCTATCAACAACTAAAAAAAAAATAAAAAATAATGGTAATAGATTGTTTTCATTTTGAAATGAAGATATTGTATAATATAATATAAAATGCAAACATTGTGTTAATAATATAAAATATAATATAGCTAAGTGAACTGATGTTAGGTGTTCATATCTAACAACTCTTAAGTGCTTGCTGCTTTTTACCTACAGCATTAATCTAATTATCAAGAATACTTAACAAAGAAATACTCAAAATTCACTCAAAAAAAGAAGGTTAAAAATAAAAGGGTGGAAGAAGTATTCCTTGAGAAATAAAATGAAAATAAAGCAGAATGTCATGCGATATCAGCCAATGCCACAATCCATAGTAAAGTACATGATGTAAAGCAAAGGAAAATTACTGTATAAAGGAAAAGGGGGACTTTGACAGTGTGGATGTAAGAATTAGGAATTGCTCTGCACCACTTAATACAACAGAATAGCATTCATCCTCAAAAGGTAAAGCATACAGGAGATACAAGGAGAAGCAGAAAGCATATATCAAAAATAGGAGACATCAATAATAGGAGACTCAGTTAATGTATCTCAGAAAAATCAAGAGGGGGAAAACATGCAAAATGATGGGAAAGCCAAATAAAATGATCAGGCATCTGGGCTACTACTAAACTTTATGCATTAAAAGTCAAAAATGTTCCACAGAGCAGGTGCTACCCTTGAGCAAATACTAACCCAAAGGAAACTTCAATAAATTGCAAAAAGTAGGAATAATATAGATGTGTTCGATAAGAATTAAATAATGCTAGAAATTAACAAAATAAAAATAATATTTAATTCTTAGAAGTTAAAAGTATCTGGCACAAGTGGCTTTAGGCTCTAAAAATAATCTACAAACTCAAAAGTGCAGTCTATCTAGAAACATCGTTAATAAAAATGTTGCGTATCAGAGCTTGCAGGGTACAATGAAAACATTCAGGAGAAAATTCGTAGTTTTCAGTATTGAACTTCACAGAGGAGAAGAAATGAGGATGCATGAGTTAAGCACCCAAAGCAAAAAAATTAGGAAGGGCTAGTGACAACAACCACGGTGGGAAACCAGAGAAATGCAGAAGAAAATAAAGCATAAAGAAGCTAGAAGCAGAAATCAATAAGTTGGAATAGGGGGAAAGAAGAAAATTGGTCAATAAAAACCAAGAGATGATTCTCGGGAACAAATATGCTGTGAGTTTATCTCATTACAAATAAAAGGTGGTGAGATTAAGTGAAAACCCTCAGCATTTAGAAAAGGGGAAATAGCAACAGAAAAAGAAGAAATTAGAATCAAAATGTTTTTAAAAAATGTTGCTTAAATCTGTGTAAATAAAATGAATGTCCTGAGTGAGGTTTTATTTTTCTAGGGAAACATGTGTTCCCAACTGACCTAGAAGAGATGAAAGGAACCTATTATGTGGAAGAAATAGAGAAAATCATCATGGACAACCTCTTCCACAAATTAAGTGCCAACAAGTCAAGGTGTTTTCCAGGGACCTCTGCCCAAGGGTTAAAGAGCAGACACTTCCAGCACAGTTAAAACTTCCCCAGAATGTACAGAAAGAAGAAAAACATCCGAATTATACTTTGTCATGAATAGAGCCTTGAATCCAAAACATAAATAAAATATGGTACTGAAGTGAATCTTAAGAAAGTCTCGTTTCTGCAAATAATACAAAATCCTAAATAAAACATTAACGCACAATTCAACAGCACATTAACAATAGCTCAGCAAGACCGTGTGGTATTTATTTTAATAATTCAAGAGTGCGTTGTTATCAGGCAGTATGTTTCAATCATCATGTTTATGGATCCAAGGAAGACAGTCAAGATAATCTTCATACATGCCAAAAAGGCATTAGACTAAATTGAATATGCATTTTTGATTCAAAAGATTCCATAACACAAGAACTCACAGATTTTTCCACAGCTTGGTAAATAATGCCTCTATTCTCCCAAAGGCCATTTTAGCATATATGAGGAAATACTAAAAACATTCTCATTAAATTCAGGAAAAAGACAAGGCTGCTCACCCGTTACTATCATAGTTTATCACAATATTAGATGAGCTAGTGGGGTAAATAAAATGTATGTACAAAAATTTGAATGGAAGAAGTAAAATTATCACTAGTTAACAATGGTATGATGACATACCATTTAGTAAATTTCAAAGCAATTTACTAAAAATGAATAGGAATAGTAAAATATTTCAATAATATACAATGATTAAAAATTAACATATGAAAATCAATAAATCAATTGCCTATATATACATAGATCTATTATATATAATAAACCATTCCTTTTTGATAGATGGTGGAGGAAAACAGTTAGATGCAACTCTGGAGCCCAGGGTACGTTCCCGACTATATCCCTCTGAGAGTTTCTCAGAGACCACTTCATCAGGGAGCCAAGGGCTCTGTATCTACAGGAACCCAGATTCCCTTCCAAAGACTCTCCAGGACTGCATCCTTCCTGGCTGTCCCTGTGGACATGCTCAGCAGCAGAAATTCCAGAGCCAGGAGGAGATCTTCCCACTTGGTAGGGGAAGCAAGCCAGGAGTACCACAGACAGTCCAGGAAGAGCTGATGAGTGCTGAGCACTGGCAGGGGTTATAGAGATGTGAAGCAGATGGACTAAAAAATATAAAAGAAGTGAAATTGGACAGATTGGTGAATGTCTCCAGTATTTGTCCTTGTAATAGTATATTATCACTTTAGTTATTATTATTATTGTGGCAAATGAGAGAAAGCAGAGACTGGTGTTTACATCTTGGTAGTGATAAAAATGCCTTGCTCACTCCCCAGTAGCTGAACCCAACTATGTGTTACTTGTAATTTGCAGTGAGTACCAGATGTTTTCATAACTGTAATGGCTAATGTGAATTGTCAACTTGATTGTATTAAAAGATGCTCATAATTAAGAGGCTTATGGGTGTGTCCATGAGGGTGTATCTAGAAATGATTGGCATGTGGGATGGCCAACTGAAATGGAAGCCGTCCCTAAGTGTGGGCAGCACCATCCAATAAACTGCAGGCTTGGATGGAATAAAAGTTGGAAGAACAAAGAAGCAGCAGCCCATGCAGGCTTGGTTCTTCTTGAATGGGTTCTTAATTGCAGCTGAGATTGTCTAAGGATATCAGACTCTAGCTTCTTCACTCTTACAAAGTGGACTCTGCCAGTAATTCTCCAGAAACCTTCGGTCTAGGACTAGGGTAGCAGTGTCGATCCCTCTAGTTCTGGGGCTTCAGCCCCTTGGACTGCGCAGCTAATGGTTCTCCTAGCTCTCCAGCTTGTAGGTGGCCACTGTGGACTATGGGCTTCTGGTCATGTAAGCCAATCTAATAAGACCCCTTTTTATAATTATACTTCTTGTTGATTCTGTTCCTCTAAAGAACCCTAATACAATAATTCTTCATGGGGTGTCTCAAAACCTAAAGTTACTGATGGAGTTTAAACTGAACAGTAAAATACTATGTTGAAACTGAGAGAATGAATGAAATGCAAGGAGTTTGCACAATCTCCACGCATGGCCCTGCAGTATGTTTGGTTCAGTTTGAGCTGTGCTTGTATACATGGTATGTGGGGGGCTTAAAGGTACGTGTGTGTCCATGAGCATGGGAAATACAAGGTACTTTGGGACATAAGAGAAGGAAAGCAACAGGTGCCTCTCTGGCATAAGCAAGAGTGGACATCACATTTTTCAATGAAATTTTATGTGCAATCACCTGTTGATTGATCTGTGGGTTGACTTTTGCCAATGAGCCCATCAAATGGAAGAAAGCAGACTGATTTGATACTTTAGGAAGTTTAGCAAACCAGCACATTAAAATAAAATTGTTCATTTGGGAAGCAGAGTTACACAAAACTGGAAAACCATAATTTTTGAAAGTCCTCAATACCCAATTCTCTACATTTTTTTGACCAGAGTTTTACATTCAAGTCCAGACTAACGATACAGTTTATCACCACTGAACTCTGCAACCTGGCTTAATTTCCCATTCAGATTGGCTTGGTAATAATATCTGCTTAATGAAATCCCATCTCCAAAGTTTCTAGTCATCTCTGCATAGCACAATGGACAAAGCTAATCATGTTGTAAAGAGAATAAGTGACATAAAAAGGTTCATTATGTCTTAGTCTGGAATATTAAACATCTGTGACCTGGGAGAGGAAAAAGGCAGAGATCAAGTTTGATGTTTGAGTGGAAATTAGGTGATAAAGACAATTAGGGCATTAATGGAGGGAGATTCTGTGCGTCTAGTGTCATTGACCTTTCCAAGCCCACTGCCTCCTTGTGCATCATCTCTTTGACTGCAAAGGTCCTGAGAGGCAGAAAGAATAATTCAGGGAGTGAATGAACATTCGTTCAATTTCTTTGTCTGAGGAGGGTTGCGACTCCACCCCATTACCCTGGGGATTTTTCCTAAGCACTGAGCTTCTGGACCTTTGGGACTTGAGATGATAAGGATTGTAGGGTCCAGGTGACCTGTCTGACTCTTAATGCCCTCCAGTGTGTTCACTTCCACTGGATTGTAGACTAAACGGAGGTTGGTTGGGGGGTGGGAAAGTCAGATGACGGTATTGTCAGCCCCGTAGTGTTACCAGCTGGGTGTCTGCAGGATCTGCCATCATTTACCTCTTAGAACCAAAAACCGCATTTCCTCCTCAGTAAGAGGGGTTGTGAGATCAAATGAGAACTGTAAATAAACATCTCGCATAGCCCTTGGCACAGGGGCCCAAAGTCAACTACATCTTTCCTCTTTGCTTTCTAGACTCCTGGGAAGAACTCTTTTTTAAAATTTTTTATTTTTAAATAAAGATTTTTGTTCATTTCCTCACAGAAGGCCAGACACCAGGGCTATGTGCTGGGGATTCAAAGATCATTAAAGGCGTATCATGTTCAGTAGGTTCAAGTTAAACCTATCAGATGACAGAGAGAATGGGGCTGAGTTCATCACTATAATGTGAAGATGTTTTGTTTTATATTCTCACTTTAAACAATTAGTAACTGATACTGAGTGAGCATCTGTTTTAGTCAGTTTTTTTTCTGCTGTAACTAAAAGATCTGATTAGAAAAACATAGAGGAGGAAATGTTTATTTGGAGGCTTATGATTTCAGAAGTCTCAGTCCATAGGCCACTGTGCTCCTTTCCTTGTGGATCAGGTGAGGACGGACATCATGGTGGAAGAGTGTAGTGGAGGGAAACAGCTCAGGACAACACATCAGGAAGCAGAGGTAGACTCCATGTTCCAGATACAAATATATACCCAAAAGCACACCCCACTGCCCACTTCCTCCAGCCACATCCTGCCTGCCTCCAGTGACCACCCCATTAATAATAACTGTCAGGGGATTAATTCACTGATTGAGTTAAGTTTCTCAAAACCCCAAAATTTCACCTCTAAACCATTTTGCATTGTCTCACACATGAACTTTTGGGGGACACCTAATATTTAAACCATAAGAGCATCTGTTGTATCCTAAGTACTACACTCAGAATTTTAAATGTGATAGAAAACTTGGAATGGAATTACCATTTGACCCAGCTATCCCACTCCTTGATCTATACCCAAAGGGCTTAAAATCAACATTCTATAGTAATGCAGCCACATTGATGTTTATAGCAGCTCAATTCACAATAGCTAAACTGTGGAAGCAACCTAGATGTTCTTCAATACATGAATGGAATCTAGAAAAGAATACTAAAGAAACTGTGGTATATATACAGAATGGAATTTTATTCAGCATTAAAAGAGAATAAGATTATGGCATTTGCAGGTAAATGAATGAAGTTGGAGAATATAATGCTAAATGAAGTAAGCAAATCCCCCAAAACCACAGGCTGAATGTTCTCTCTGATAAGTGGATGCTGATCCATAATGGGGGGAGGCATGGAAAAAATGGAGGAACTTTGATTGGGCAAAGGGGATAGCAAAGGGTATGGGGGCAGGAAAGATGGTGGAATGAGATGGGCATCATTACCTTAAGTACATATTGTGTGACACTACATCATGTACAACCAGAGAAATGAAAAGTTGTGCTGTAATTGTGTACGATGAATCAAAATGCATTCCGCTGTCATAGATACCTAATTAAAATAAATAAATAAATTTCAAAGAATGTGATTTTTGTTTTTATTTTTAAAATATTATTTTCTGATTGCATATAAGATTCATTAAATTATAAAGTTTTTAAAAATGCAGTTAGGGATACATTGAAACATAAGAAGAATGGTGCAAAATAAGAATACATGTGCAAGGCTCTTGGTTTAATGCTCAACACTGAAAAAAAAAACAATAATGATTAATATGATTTCCTGAAAATACTATTATGTAGAGTTATCTAGTAGTAGAATTTGGGTATATAACTTTCTAGAACTTTCTGATGCTTTCTTTCTATTAAAAATTTGTGTGTGTGTGTGTGTGTGTGT